ACACACACACACACACACACACACACACACACACACACACACACACACACACACACACACACACACACACACCCCGGAGCTGAAGTTGTTACTAAACAAAGCTCAGAGAGAGCAAGAAAAAAAGTTTCAGCCCAGGAACTTGGAGGTCTCAACACTTTGTTTAATCTTTGTCATTGAAAGGTGGATGCCCTCTGGTCATTATTATTACCAATAACAGTACAGTTTCCAGAAGGCCTCAGTTTGATAAAAGGGTTACTTGTGTGTGTGTGTGTGTGTGTGTGTGTGTGTGTGTGTGTGTGTGTGTGTGTGTATTGCATGCTCAGTGTTTCTTGTTGGTCCATCGATCAGATAAGCTTTTCCATTATCCAAGGCTTCAGTCTCTGCTTCCCATAGCTTCCCCTTATCAGACTCCACTGGGGTCACACACACACACACACACACACRCACACGCAGACACAGACACACACACACTCCCACACTCGCAGGTCAGCGTGATGCCCTTCACACACTGTGGGTTAGATAGGGGAGCAAGGCAGTGCTGAGTGATGGTGCCACAAGGTGCTGACGTACGTATGTATGYGTTTGTGTGTGGATGTGTCAGGGATACCTTTTGCAATTGTAAGCATTTCTCATCAGTAACCTACTGATACTGGTGAGGTTTCATTTGTGTCACTTCATTTGTTGTGCTTGCTGTGTGTGTGTGTAGAGGGGGGTTGATGGGGGCAGGGGAGCATGTAATAGCAGATGTCATTGGGATTGGTTGAACAAGCTGCAGTTCAAAACAGCAGGGTTGTATTTGCAAATCCTGGGTGGTCTTCTAATGGCTCTGGTCCTGCAGTTAACCTGCTTTTAACTGTAGGGTGTGTCCTACATTAAATGTCTATTTCCTGCCTCCCATGTTGCGCTATATAAAGCTGCTGTACCACTGACCTTGGCCCAGTCATCGYACAGTCATACAGCTGGTTTCCTTCACTGCCATCAGCAGATCTTTTATTTTTTTTTTTCTGTTGATCGTTCCCGTGCGCTCCTTATCATAAGCTCATGTTGTAATACTCAAACTCTGATCAGATTTTTTTGTACACACATGTTTTGTGTTGGCATTTAATCTTCCATTGATGGCCTTGCGTCAGAGCATCCTGATGATACGCAGTCACTCAGGAGGGGAAAAAAACATGAAGTACATGATGCAGCACGTTTTGGAACCGAGATGTATGAGTAGAGTTGCATATTTATTTGTGTCTGAGGGGAAAAAAAGAGGATAAGATGATTGTGTGACAGAGAAACATGTGAGAAAGACTGACACTGAAAAAGATTTGCGGAGAGGAAAAAAAAGAATAAGTCAGAGCATTCAAGTGACAAGATATAGACTAAGAGAAAGACACGGAAATAAAAAAAGGGGGTGGGGGGGGTGCTGGCACCAGCCTACTCAGGGCCAGATGTTTTGCGGCTAAAAAACTAGAGTGAATCAAAGCCATGTGAAGAGATTTATTAGGTTCCCATAGGAGCCCAGGCAGTATTACATGTAGCCTGTTCTGTTTACAGTGGCAGGAACCCCTAAACCACCCATCAACTCCACTACTGGCTTGGCTGGGAATGTGAAGACTTTATATTTGGACTTATATAGGCTTTTGTCTCGTATTCTTTTTTTTTTCTTTTTTTTTCTAGTTGTGAATATGCTGGAGGAGTTGGATTCGAATCACAAGGCTGTTTAGTCTGAGTGCCTGAGCCAGAGTAGTCGGCTGTAGCTCTGCCCGGTACAGTAGCACCATCTGAATGTCTTTATTTGGCATCTGCTTCCCTCAATTTAGACGTGATTTCAGATGTGTTTCGCCTACTGTGTCTGATTCTCATATTGAAGCGTGCCCACAGGGACTGTAGTGGAGCTCATTGCCTCGTATTGCAGCATTGACAACAGTATTACAAGTTTCTCTGTGCAATTCTAGGATTTAATCTTTTATAGATCCAACCTAATACTGTCCGTTTCAATAATATTGGTGATGGAGCACATGCCGTGCCCTCTTGTGTTAATGGCTACATCAGTAATGGATCCACACTGTATTGCTACTAAAAGCTGACTGAATAATCTGCCCCTGCTGTGGCTGGAAAGACTGAGCCAGCTGTTTAATGATGTCAGCGTGCTGGAGGGGAAATGCACACGAACCCCCCCCCCCCCCCCTTTTTATTTTAATATACGCGCATTGACTGACGGACTTGGGCACACTCAATCGAGGACAGACAGACAGACGCACACTGGTGCACGGCAAACGAAACGCGTCCGTCAGCAGCTGAACAGCTGAACTGGCTTCACGAAGGAAACACCAAAGCAGCCACTGCTAAGACAGCCGTGATTGCTGGCAACATACCAACGCATAGTGAGGATAGACAGATATGTCGACTACTCTTACTGTGAATTTAACAGGCCTTCCTCTGACGCTCAGATCTGAGGTGCTGTAACTGATGATTATTAACCGTTACATTTGTTTTTGTTTTTTCAGATTGATGCCTTGAGTAAAAGAAGTAAAGAAGCAGAGGCCGCCTTCTTGAACGTGTACAAAAAAATAATCGATGTCCCAGGTAAGAAGACTTTTCAGCCAACTCCTATTTCCTAGATTTACTGAAGAGATTCCCATAAACCTTAAAATGCTTTCAAAAAATAATTAAAAAAAAGCCAACATATTATTTCAGAATACATCAAAATTAACATTAAAATGCTTTTTGTACCTAAAAAAATTGTAAAATGAAACATAACCTTATTTTCACCAAATTTTTGGAACATTACCAAACTGTAAAACATCTACCTAAGTACTACAATACTTTTTCGGCAGTAAAAATACATTTAACAAAGAAAAAACTTTTATGAGGATGTTTGTAAGTGCAGCTCATACCTCCTTGTTTTGAAGTGTGTCACCAAAAAAATCTGTTTTTAAGGCCGAGAAAACCCTGCTCCTCTGGTTTGGTTGTATACCAGAAAAAGAATCAGGGCCTCCTTCCTCTGTGTCTTGAAGCCACAAAACATGAGGGCTACAAAGTAATGGGGTTGGGTAAGCTGTTCATATTCTAGATTCATGTAAAAGAAAACAAACAGAAAAAAAAATCAGTATAGACACCTAAAGTCCAAAACAAAAGATGAATAGACTGTCCTTTATGAAAAGAATTGGCTCCAACAGCAACCTCTTTTGTCCCGCCTCATTGTTCATTTGCTTGTGTGACATCCTAATGTCTCCCCATAAAACCTCAGCACACTGGAGTAGTTTTTACRTGGTCCCTACAAAAGGTTTAGGTGGGTATGGCCAGCGTTGGTTGAGACAAAGTGCACACAAGACCAGGAAAAAGAGAAGTTCCGGGGATCACTTTGTGCTGCTGGTGAGAGATTTTCAGTGTTAAGGAAAAGCAGGAGGAGCCCTTTTATGTAGGAAAAGAGTTGAGTTCATCTATAGCGTAAGGAGGTCATCATATTCCCACATGGATAGACCTACAGTAATATCTTTGGATTGTACTGCTCCCAATAAGTCAGCTTCAGCACTGACGGGGCTATTCTTAACTTGTACCGAGACAATGATGTAATGCCCGATGCACAGAGACACAAACCAGTCTGACTAATGCAGCAGTCTTGAAAGAGGAAACAGTGTGTTTTCTTCTGTCTTCTGTCAGCTGAAGGCCTGGATACTCGGGGCCCAGTGTGCTCTGCTTTAGATTAAAGGTGTCTGGTGAGAGCGTTCGGCACCAGTGGCCCACAAGTCAAACTGTTTTTAACAGGCTGCACAGTTGATGTGAAGGGGGAGAGGGGGGTTTGTGAAGGACAAAGGTTTGATAAGAGAGAGAAAGTTAATTTTCAAGGACGGCAAAGCTGATAGGAGTCTATATCCAGGGCATACTGTTGAGTTCTTTAGTATTTGTTAGCGTGTGTTTGAGCCTTTGTCAGCGAACGTACCTGTTTATGTGAAGGTGCATGTGTGTGTGTGTGTCACCTTGACAGCACAAAATCAGCATGAAATTCCCCAATCGTTCTCTGCTGATCTCTCATTAGCATAGTTAAGATATCTAACTGCGTCAGACATAAGACACACACACATACACACAAACAGCTCCTACCCCCAGCTGTAAGCTGTCAGTTCCTCTTATCTGTACAACACACACACTTAAATACACACACATGCATAAACTGCTCTTTTAGCTGGCACGCTGATGAGCGTTGCCTGCGTCTCTTGGCTGCCTGTCACCAGTCTGCCACCCATGAGCACCAATCAGATGTGATTGGCCTGACTGACAGGGCTCTCTTCATCACACTGACAGTTAACCCCGCTGCGTGTTTTCCAGAGTTGTTGCTAAAATGCCTCTAGAAAGTTGCCTTTTTTCCTCGTGTCTCCATTTCTCTAATCTCTTATTTACCTCTTTCACTGCCTGGTTTTTACATCCTTGCTTTGTCCAACTGTCTGCTCTCATGTTTCTCTTTTTTTTTCTCGCTTTCAAGCTGCATCATAGCGAACACTTTCAACTGATCACAGCTCGGTAATCTCTCTTGTTAATGTGTCTCATCTGTGTTCCCGTTTATCTGCCTCTGCTGGTATCTGTTGTACAGCTCTCCTGCTGCGTCAGCATTAGCCCCTCCGGGACGAAGCCAATGTTTATCTCAGAACTCAACAATAGTTTTATGAAACAAAAGTTGATAGTGTAGCATTTAATACACTTCRTGGAAGAGGTTTTGTGTGTACCGCAGTTATCTTTCACAATGACAGCAGACCTTGACTGATCTTATTTCGTTTTTAGTCACAGTATTTTAGTTTTATTGAGCTAATAGTCTAATTGAAGCCCAAGCGTCTCTCTTCAAGGAATGCACATCAACCACTGCTTTTCATGATAAACATTACGTACATCCAAGGTCTACKTTCTGATTGTTTTATTAAAATCCACCTAGTTGTTCCTGAGATATTTTGCTAACAGACAGACAGGCTTGATGCTCATGGTGTAGTGGTCGATTACTTGTTGGAATAAAATTCAGCTTCTACATCAAATCTTAGCTCTGGATCTGTAAAACGGAATTATAAACATTTTTGTGTTTCCTTAGTTCAATAGCTGTGGCAGCCATCTTCAATTGGATTGACTTCAAGTGCCAATCAGTTATAGGATACCCAAATGATTATTTTCTGATGGTTTCAGTAAAATTCAGTAGTTCRTTCATTATTTTGCTAACACTACAGATAGACTAACACACAGACACAAGTAAGAACATTAACTTCTCACGCCTTTAGGCGGCCCACAATTATAAAAATATAGCTACTTAGAAATATTAAGACATGACCAGAGTGTGATCAAAGTCAGTATGGTTACAGAAAATCTGACTGGAAATGAAGGTATTATAGATATTAAMAATTAAAGGATTTAACTTTTTGTGTCTCTGAAAACACATATTCTTTTGATCATTTGGTAAAAATGAGGTAGTTCAGTATCAGATGTTAGTTCTGCTTTTACAAACGTTTGTGAGCAGTTAACTTTGAACATACTTTATAGGGTTTCTGGTAATTATGTTTAGGTTCTTGTTGGAATCAATCATTTTCCACAGTGAGATCAAAGGTTAGGGTCGGCTCCAAWACATTTGTCCTGAAGCTGTTAGATTCATTGCCTCTCGCTCAAGGACACCTCACCAGGATGAACGCCCACTCTCACACGGCCTTGACTGTAGTTATTCCTAGCACACTGGGCCACCTCGCCGCCCTTGCTTGTCTGATCTGCTTTGCAGTGTGTTAAACACGGTGTGTGTGTGTGTGTGTGTGTGTGTGTGTGTGATTTCTCCCTCAGACCCTGTACCTGTGTTGGAGCTGGCTCAGCAGCTGCAGCTGAAGCTCCAGAGGATGCACGACATTGAGACAGAGAACACCAAGCTTCGAGAGACACTGGAGGACTACAACAAAGAGTTCGCAGAAGTTAAAAACCAAGGTTAGAGAGAAATATGTGCTTGGGCAAACGATTAATGAGATTACTCACTTTCAGTCTGCCATTGAGACAGCTCAGAYAAATCTTAAATGTAGTTTTTGGTGAAACTTCTTTAATGGTAAAAACACACACAAAATGTGTGACCAAAGGAGAGTTCTACAAAATAATCCAGCTACAKTTAAAACTGATTGTTTAAAGATTATAAAACACAGTAGGCAATGCAAGAAGCAATGCTGTAGCTAGAAATATAAGGGATTGCTTGTAGAGAATTGTGTAATTCACGTGGCCCACTCCTAATTTCAACCATTTCTAACATTTTMTCTGCTGACAGTCAGTACAACTATTAATTTAAGGCTGAACATAACCTCCTCCTGTACAGGTTATGTGTACAGTGCAAGTTATCACTGTAAGCTTGCCAGTTTAAAGAAAGTCTTCTTTTAAGTCATTAACCTTTTTTCACACATCACCTCTCAGGTCGMGCCATAAAAGCCTTACTTCTCAACACCGTCAAACATGAAAGATAAAAATGGATCTCTTGAGTTTTAAACATGTTCAGATTTTTTCTTAAACTCGTCTTAAACRCATCTGAATTGTCGTGGATGTCTGCAAGTTGCCTGAAGAGTTTTACAGTTGTTGTTTTATAGAAAACATCTGAGGCAAATGTTTAGGTCTAAAAACCATAACGATGTTAAATAACTTTGAAAAACTGCCTCTCCATTTTGAAACGTACTCCAGCAGATCAAATCTTAAACGTGGAAACAAAACGAGCTGAAACGAGTACGATGTGAGTTGAGGTGAACAAAATAATGTGCACGACCAAGAATGCAGTTTTGTAAGCCGCTCACCACCATACACCATGATTTTCACAAACTAAATGCTGTTTCTTCTAAATGGTTTGAAGGAACTGAATTGTAAGTAGAAAATCAGAGTAAAAAAATTATTTACTCAGAATTTTTTTTCTGCTAGATTTGCACACATCGAGTGCACTGTTAAGATCGTTTTTGCCCATAATTATACAAAAACGTTTTGTGTGTAAATAAAACACAACCAATATACATTATGAGAGTTAAGTCTACGTTTGAACAAATTTAATKACTCATACATTTTTCAGAAACAGACAAAATGTACTAGGTTCTACATTTTCAAACAGGTTTTAAAGAGAGGTGGGGGAACACGTGGTGTCGTTTCATGAATAAAAAACGACGGTTTACTTCAGGGTAGAAGAAAGATGGAAAAACTGACAAAGACAGAGAGATGAGTGTGAAGTGGTAATAAAAGTGGTGCAGCTTCAGTCCGGAACGGAGGAGCGAGCGAACGAGCTGGGAATGTTTTGGAATCCCCCCTCTTTTTTTCCCTCCTCTTTTTCCTCAGTGAGAGTTAATTGGAACAGCTCGATAGCGGCAGGGTTCCATTCTACCATTGATTTTCCTGTTCCCTCATCCTTTATCCCTCCTTCCCGCCTCAATAGATGGGGGATATTTAAACCCCCAAAACACACTCTGGAACTCCCACTCCTGTTAAACGAACACGCGGACCTGGCTGCACACACACCAAGACACACAGAGTGCAGAGGCCATTGATCCCCACAACCTAAATGTTTAAAGTTCAGTTAAGCAGTTAAGGGGTAAGAGGGCTCTAAGGGGACTCTCCTCTATTGATTATGTGTCAGAGCTGTGAGACTGGAGTTTAAATCACACACACAGGCGTGTGCACACACACACGCACAGAGTGCTCAGAGCCCTCAGTCCAAAGCATCAGGCAGCAATGCTTTAAATCATTGTCTCACTCACTTATATCTTCCTCTGAAAAAACACACACAAACACACTCTTTTATGCGCAGACGCCTGTTTATTGCTCCAGTTATGTGTTAGATTTATTTCAGGGCACTCTGTACAGAGCTCAGCCGTCAGCAAGTGGTGGGATTTCACTTCTAATGCAGCCCTAATGAATACAACATATCTACTGCGAGTAATTGAATATTCTGTACCAGCAACGGATGTAAAGATTAGGCCGGAGCCGAAGGGGGCTGAGGTCTTCGTCTGTTCGCCTCGCAGAGGAAGAATGTGGGATACGAAGGGCTGGTTCTTTAGCAGAGGTCAAAACGCCCCCATCAAAAGCATCATCTTCACCACTGCCATTTATCACATCTAGGAAACAACCAGAGTCTGTTTTTCCTATGTGTTCTCGCAAAATGCCTGCATTTCCTTCCTCTTGAGCTCTTGTTTTTCTCTGCTTCATCAGAGGTGACCATTAAGGCCTTGAAGGAGAAGATCCGTGAGTACGAGCAGACTCTGAAGAACCAGGCTGAGAACTTGGCCCAAGAGAAGCAGCTCCAGCTTCACAATGACTATGCAGAAAAAGAGAGGTATAATTATATTTTCTGTTCTGCTGATGTTTTCCTTGAAATTATTTCTCCCTCCCCACCACCACTCATATGTTGCTATTTTAGATCTCTGGATCCTTGTGCCCTCGGGCAGAAGTGTCAGTTCTCATCTTTGAAGGATGGCTTTAAAGACTTGTTCTAGGGCTGCACCGATTAGTTGAAGTAATCGATGACGTCAATTATGTAAATTTATCGACGCAGATTTTTTATTATCGATTCGCTGTATTACATAACCACCACGTGAATGTTCATGCAATTCCATTTCGGTACCTAAATGCGTCATTGCGACCGTATTGGCATAAGAGTGGTGAGTTTACCATGCTTGTCCTGAACGCAGCATCGTGCAAGAGTGTAATGACGTCAGCAGCCGCTGCTTCAGTTCAGTCTGAAGCTTGAAAACAAACCTCGCAGCTCCTGGAGTAAAATTTACCGAACAGACGCCTCTGAATTATCTGGTGGATTAATTATCTTGTGAGCACGACGTTCGCTTGCTCAAAGTAAATAAAGTACMGACACTTTCTTTATTTCATCCACCATTAAACAGAGACCGGTGTTAGGTCGAGCCA